TCGGCGTCTATGTGAAATTTTCGACAGCCGTAATTTTGTATGGTTAAATAGTGTCTAAATTAATTACACCATTTAACCCCCCAAGATATAAAACGACGTAACAATTAGCTTTTCATTTTCTAAAACCAAAAATGTGATCGGAAGGAAAGATATCTGGTTGGTGCTTTAAATTGGTGCTTAAACATTCATATAGTAATATATCAATGAGCATAAATTTTTTCAAAAAGTTGACATAGTGATTCGGATAAAGTATTTATCACCAATGAATTTCTAAATTAGAATTTAGGACATTAGAACTTGTACGTATAAAGATTCAAAATCCGAAATATTTAGGATTTTGAAAAGCACTTTAGCCCGAATCATTAATCATCACACTAGAAATTTTATCTCAGCTAACTTGAACCTCTGGTAAGAATGATTGTACTTTATTATAAAAGTTTACCGAATTGATGCGAAACAAATCACTGGTAGACTGTTTTTCGGTAGAAATTAGCATAGGACTTGGATATTCCTCCTTTATTATTATTACTCTGCCCTTTTGTTTAATTTCCTTTTCCAACTCTTGTTCAAGTTTATAAGTTAATTCACCAATTAGTGAACAAACTACATTTTAATGCTTTCTCTGTAAATTCCAATCTCAAATCACTTTATATTTTATTTTTTCAATTCTGAATGAATGAAAATTATTTTTATATTGAATAAGTCATTAAACTAAACTGAGATCAATTGTCCTCTTTACTATCCACTAATTAAAAATAACAACATATAAAATTTTACTTTTTGGAATTGGATTTGTCTTTGTAGAACCACAACTAATGATACTTGATAATGATAAACCTTTTATTATATCAATTTAACAAAATCTTTTGTTATAATTATTTTGAAAGTATCTGTGATAAATGATGAAATTTATAATAAAATGTTTTAATCAATAAAATACATGCTCATAACTCTCAATGTCTAACAATAATAATTATTTGAGAATTAACAAATACAAAAATATGTGTTTAAATATATGTATGTATTAATTTTTATAAAATCTTTATCATGGTAAAAAAAAAGTTTGTATTACAAGATTTGAAAGTGATTAATAATTAATTTTTATATTATTTTATATTATTCATTATTCAAAAAAATTTATATATAGATACCAATAAATTATTATTATAGTAAAAATATTAGTTAATTAAGATATTATTTTACAGTGGCCGTCAAATGTTTTGCATCACACAAAAAAATAAATTGTAAATTCAATAACATTATATACAAACACCTGAAACTCACAAATTTTGACATATATTGTTTACCAAATGTTGCAAAACATGTAAATATAATTCTTTATTTAGTTAATAATCACTAAATTGAAATAATAATGATTAATACAATTTTACATGATGTGTTTTTTTGACTGTTTACGATGCAAATAATTTAATGCTGATATTTAAATAACTAACGACTAAAAATTTACGAAATTTAAATAACTATTCTTTACCATTCTGTATACCCTCCTTTAGATCATTTATTCGTTCGGACATACATTCAATTAGACTAATTAAAAAGTTATGATCTGTTTCTATTCATATTTTTTGAATAGCTTCCCATAACTCATCTTTGAGTACGAACTGTATTTTCTAACCTTCTCAAACGTATATTTATCTCATTCCAGAGATGTTCTATAGGGTTGAGGTCAGGAGATTGTGATGGCCATTCTAATACCTCAATATCATTATCGTAAAACTACGTATTGCTCCGTTAAATTAGCCGTGTGCTTTGGATCGTTATCCTGTTGAAAACGATATTATTCTTATCCAACTCGTAATGCTCGATAGTTTCTAACAAGTCATCATTCAAAATTTCGCAGCAGTATAATTCCTTATCCATGATACCAAAAATGCGTATGATTTTACCAATGCAGAAGGAAAAAAAGCAACACCAGTTCATAATAGAGTTGTGTTGAAATCATCACGTGATTGTAGTGGATGTACCAGTTGTCAGGAAAATGAGTACTGCCACAAACGAATCGAATTGTCTAGCGAAAATAAATCTCGACAGTTTAATAAATGAATGCGCGAAAATCAATGATAAATTCGGATGGATCCCTTTTGAAAGATTTACCGATGTTGAATATCTTGCAAAAGGAGGCTTTGGATCAATTCATAAAGCAACCTGGTTGGAAATCTGGGTATTGGGATCATGTAGAAAATAGATTTGAACGAAAGGGAAAAACTGACGTTGTGTTGAAATCATTACACAATTCAAAGCAAATTACATCCGAGTTTATAAACGAGGTAAAATGAAACCTTTAAGTGTAAGCATATCGCTTTTTTGTTTACAATCTAATTAACTTTTTCAAAAGTAGATTCTGACTGCTCTAAAGTGCACTATTTACGATATTAGTTATTATGGAATAACTGAAAACCTAGCTACAAATGAATACTCGATAGTGATAGATTATGCAGAAGATGACGATTTACGCAAATATATGAATTCCAACTACCAAAAATTGAATTGGGGACAAAAATTAGAATATTTAATTGAGATCATTGAATGGTTAAATAAAATTCACAAAGAGGAATTTGTGCATCGTGACCTCCACCCTGGAAATATATTATTGCGTTATAGTAGAGTTAATATTAATTTTGGATTTACTAAACCATCAGACACAAACAAAAAATCTGCGGAGTACTTCCTTATATGAGTCCAAGGTACTAAATGGAAAACCATACACTAAAGCTGCAGATATTTATGGTTTTGGGATGATTGCGTACGAGGTTGCCACAGGTGAACGACCATTCGGTGAACAGAGTCATAGTTATGATCTCGTACAGAATATCTATAATGGAGTGCGACCTACGATACCAAATAATGTTCCTAAATTATTCAAGTTTATTATTGAAAAATGTTGGGATCCTATTCCAGAAAAACAGACTAACTACTGAGGAACTTTTTTACTTTATCGACTCTATCAATGGATATATTCCACAACCGAATACTTTGCTTCTTCAGTGCTATGGATCTTTAGAATCTCCTAAGACACGCGAAGAAATTATTGAGTGTCTCAAACTGGAAAAGCAGAAATTGAAAGAACTTGATGAGAAGATGGAATTGCAAAAGAGTATTCCTACAAATACGAACAAAATACAACAAATCCACTCAAACGCAGTTTACACCAGTCGAGTCTTTACCACAAAACTAATTTCAATTACAACTGAGACAGGTACTTTTATTTTGAAATATAAATCATATCGATATTATCGTTTCACGTTAATTAAAATTTGTATCGAATGTTTAGGGTTGACAAGTGTCAGTTTATATATTCCAAACGAAGGTAACATTGCTCGTTTTATTTTTTTTAGTGACTTCATTAATTCATTGTTATTTTTTTTGTGGTGCAAAACAGAAATTAACGAGAGTGAAGATATATTGAGTTTCTTTCAAGAACAACAACTTCATTATGAAACGCTGCCAATATCATGCTCGTGATTAGATGAAACTGGTAACTATAATTTTAAATGACTGAACAAACGTTCACAACGATAACCTTCAGACGAGCCCAAACATTACTTAAGCAAACTGCCTTCTAATATGTCTGTGGACGAGGTGTCAGACATTAATCTCCAATCGATTACTCCAACCAAAACCAATAGCTGTAGTGATCCTCAATCTTCAAACGGAGTAAGTTTCATAATAATTATTATTATTGCTCACAAAGAACTTTTTTATCCTTTCACTAACTTGTTTTTAGCCTCAATTTTCGCCTGTAAGTAGTTACAGCAATATACAAACTTCACCATAACTCAAGGATCCTTTGGTAGTTACAGCAATATACAAACTTCACCATAACTCAATGATCCTTTGGTAGATCCGTGCAATCTTTTTATAAAGAATTTAGATGCAAATATTACTTGTAGTGAACTTTTTAATCATTTCGCATTATCAGTACTCGAGTAATGAGAGATCAAGAAATCAACACGTCTAAAGGTTTCGGATTTGTAAGTTATACCACTGCTGAGGAGGCTGATCGAGCTAAGCTGTCGATGAACAATAAAACCCTTGGGACAAAACAAATTATTGTTAGACTTCATGAACCAAAAAAATGGGTGAAGCCAATAGTTTCAATACTGCTTCAGAATCACGTACTCCTTCCCGTCGAAATTTCAACCAGTATCCTATCAATCTATCAATGCGGTCAATAAATATGACCAAGAAGCTCTTTCTGGACTCGCGCCAAAAGTATAAACTGAAATTTTGAGTTCTGAATTGCAAAAGCAGTTTAAAAATATCGCAGTTTCTCAAGAGGTTGGTCCTATTATTGAACATCTCTTGAAAGATCCTCCTGCATTGACACGAAAGGTTAATTTTACCTCTTTATTTGTACACAACAATAAATATTAATATATAAATGTAATGAATAATGTGCTTAATAAAAATTTTAGATTCACGAAACACAATCTTCTCTCAAAATGGAGCCAAGTACACCAAACGCTTCAACACCTTCGCATGCAATGGCAACAGAACATGAAAAGTTTTCAAAAGCAATTAAAAGAATTGCATCTCAACATACCGATGAGATTCTTGAATTAATCATATCTTTGAATAAGAAAGAATGTGCTTTGTGCTATTTCAATCCTGAATATTTAATAAAGAAGTATAGAAGCGAATTTTACACTTAGTCTTACGCGTGTAGCTGATCAATCCACTACTCCTTCGAGTCCAAATAAACTTTTAAACTCTGCAGATATCACGCATGCTTCAACTCCTCCCACTAAATCACCGGAACCAACAACTATTTCTCGAGTCTCTCAAGAATAAATCAGTTGTGGAGCAAAAACAAAAACTGGGTGATAGACTCTTCCCAAAAGTTAAAGCCACCGTAAAAGTAATTTCTTTGCGACTACCAAATTTTTCTAATTGACAATTCGGACCTTCACATATTTTCTTATTAGAGTCTTGGAACGAAGGCTCAAGCTTCTCGATACCAACGATCTCCGCGAATTAGCTCATTCGATGAATGATCCGGATATATTTAAAGTAAAAATTGAAGCTGCGGTGGCAAAAATTACTGCCGGCTCCATTGCTGCCAAATAAGTGCAAACATCATCTTATAATGTCCACATATAAAATCAAAATTTCAAATAAAACACAAAAGTGAACTCTCGAGTGTTCAGCAGTAAATTTACGAGTATGACTGCTGAGATGACCGTTATGAATATCACAGATGAATAGATATCGATCGTCTAAGGAATGTGCTAACACTAATAGCTAATATTAAATGGAAAGTAGTCCAATACTGCGCCACTGGACTTGGTAAATTTACAAGTCCAATCTGGTTACAAACAAAAGTTACAACGCGCGATCCAGATAATGTTTCCGGATGGTGCAAATTTATCATTGAAAAATGTTGGGATCCGATTCCAGAAAACAGAGGAACTTTATTACTTTATCCGGTCTATCAACGACAAAATTGAATTCATTGCATTTTCAGTACTGCGACTTTTTTGAGTCTCCTAAGACAGATGAAGATATTGATGAGTGTCTTACAAGAATAAGTACAATGAAACACTCACAATATCATGCTCTTTGTTAGATAAAACTGGGCTGGTAAGTGTTAATTTATATATATAATCGATCTTTTTAATTTGCGTTAGTGTTAGCGTTACTGAAGTAGCATTAAATTATTCGATTCCGCAACGCAATTTTGATTCTCAATTTCTACATGAAAATCCCTCCAAAATTAGTTTCTTGTGTAATGGTAAGTTCTATTGTAAAAGTATTTCGTTACCTTTTTTATTTATTTATTTATCGTTATATAACATACGATGATCATCGAGCGGGAGTGTCGAACGATAGTCAATACATAAGCCCAACAAACGAAATCCCGAAAGCACGAATGCACGGTATACCGAATGAACAGCATACTGAATGCATGATATACCGAATGCACGAAATCACGCATTTACTAATTCCCCCAGGTTTCTGATTGGATGCAAGTAATTTCCATCGCTGATTGGTTGACTGCAAACCGGGTTCTCTAGACCAGACCGGCAAACAAATCCGTCACAAGAAATTAAAATGCAAATATACGGAAAATGAATGCTTAAATCTGGCTCGAAGCACTAATAAATAATGTCAGGAAGACAATTTTACATATAACCTTATTCTCGACCCTAACCCTAATCCAACGCTAAAATTAACCTTTAATATCCTCAACCAATCAGAAACCTGGGGGAAATTAGTAAATGCGTGATTTCGTGCTTTCGGTATGCTATTCATTCGGTATATCGTGCATTCGGTATGCTATGCATTCAGGATTTCGTGCATTCAGTATGCTGTTCATTCGGGATTTTGTGCTCCTCCACTCTAAATAAGCCGTTGAATTCTTTTGAATTGTTATTTTTTTTTGAACAGGCCGTACTAATAAGTTCTGTTGAAATTAATTTTGTTTTTCTTGGAGAGGCCGTATCAATAAGCCCTGTCAAATCGCCCTTTTGTATTGAGTTTCTTTTTGGACAGGCCGTATCGACCGTATCAATAAGCCCTGCCATATTCGCATCATTTGGTATTAAAATAAAATAAAAACTTTATTATAACAAACCTCTGGAACAACCGGAGAGACCCTCCAACCCACGCCGTTGCAGAAAGTTCCTTGAATCAATTGGTTATTGCAATAACTGCAATAATCTGGTGTCCCCCAACTATCGCAGAATAAGCCCTTTCGGTAAATATTAGAAGGAACGCAACAATAGATGATAGAATAGCAAATTATATATTCATCCTTCTCCAACCTAAAAACGTCGTTTGGAGTCAACAAGTACAATTCCTCCTTCACCCAAAAATAAGACAAAGCGAAAGCAATCTTATAGTACAATAATTACATCAATTATAATGAAAAAAATGAGAAATCTAAATTATTCGTTTAACGTTATCGTTTATGCTAGATTTCATATGCCATTTAAAAAAAGGTGGAAAAAACTACGTAACGTGATATTGAATTTATGATTGGTTCGCCGCAAGTTACACTAAAAATTCTTGATAATCACTATCATATGAATACTCACGTATTCAACTTGTTGGCTTAGATGGTGGAATTCAAGAAATTTCCCAGAATAAATTGCGAAGTATTTTACAAAACACCAGAAATTCAAAAAATAATGTACATGAAATAAATTGAATATATATCTAAATTTCATTTTTTTAAAAATCGGACGTTACTTTCTGTGGTGACTATACGTAGGCACATAAAATGTGACAAATTCTGTATACATAAACACGTTTCGGGCATGGGTTTGTTGATACGAAATGACACGAAATTGCCATTCCGTGTGATTTCTGTAATTTACATGCTTATAGGACATTATTTAAAACAGACTATTTTAACCATGTAACGGTCCTAGTAAAGATTCGACAGGTAGCATTTGAGTGGATTTATTGGTTTTTGTTCGTATTCATATGAATAATTTTTTGCAATTCCATCTTCTCATCAAGTTAAACTTATCAACTATACTTTTTTTAAAGTCAAATCTAATATGTAATTCGTAATAATATGGTATTTAAGCTGAATAAATTTTCCTGCAAAATGAGAATCTTAGTTCTTAAGTTTTATCCAAAAAAATTTGTTTTGGATAAAAAAAATTATCGTCATCGTTATCGCAAAAACATGGAATGAAAGATTTTATTTATTTGGAATATTACTAAGTTGTAAGTTTTGATATTACTTGTTTATTTTCGCAATGCGTAACTCATGATCAGTTCTAGCTCTAGAAATCACCCACTTGTCGAATGTACAAACCTTGAACATTAAAATTGAACAGCTGTCGTAAACTTTTCTAGTATTGTGTAAATCAGTGTTTGAGAAGTTACGAGAGTTTAGGTGTGAGCCGAAGACTAGTGTTGCAAGTAAATCGTAATTAGGCGTAATCAACGATTTTACCTACAACAATTGAGGGGGAGAGAGTGTTTAGACTGATTTGTACTCGTTCGTTATCTAATTCCTGTGCCGATATCGAGGATTTGGGAGAATCAGTTTTCTTTAATTTTAAGTGACGGGTTACTTCTATTAACAATATTTAATAGTAACAATTGCTTTTTCTAGACAAAAGCCTTAAACTATTCTACACAATGCGTTTTACTATCAATCAACATGCCGTTTA